CTGAATATGGCTGAGTACCAACTGTGTAAGTAGTTTGATTATTAAAGGTGCCATTGCCTGCATTGAGAAGAACACCGACGGTGGTCGAACCAAAGTTTGCAACGACAATATCGGGTTTACTGTCGCTATTCACATCGACAACTGCTACTGATCTTGGGCTGGTGCTAACTGCGTAAGTAGTTTGTACCTTAAAGGTGCCGTTGCCTGCATTGAGAAGAACACCGACGGTGGTCGAATCATAGTTTGCAACGACAATATCGGGTTTACTGTCACTATTCACATCGGCGACTGCTACTGAAATTGGGTTACTACCAACTGTGTAAATAGTTTGAGCATTAAATATGCCGTTGCCTGCGTTGAGAAGAACACTCACGGTGCCCACAGAAATACCGTTTGCAACAACAATATCGGGTTTACTGTCGCTATTCACATCAACGACTGCTACTGACCGTGGGGTATTACCAACTGCGTAAGTAGTTTGATTAAGAAACGTACTGCACCCTATTAAATACAAAAGGTTTGTTCTCACATCTGTACTAGTATATAGACAGTATTCACTCGTCGTATTTTATTCAATCTTTGAGAGTTTAACTTAATTAAACACAACTTATTCGAAAAGATCAGGTCACTGAATTTTGGGCAATTAAAGATATTCTAAGATACAACTAAAGTCAGTTTTCAGCGATTCTGTCCATCTCAATGTGAAACCCTCTCGTCAATCTGAAACATCAACGAAGTCATCTCACTCTACTTAAAACTTGTACTCCCTTTAATAAAGTTTCATGATATCCTCGACTAGGAGGACGCAGAATACTTTCCAAGTAGAATTCAAAATGCCATACATTTGTCCACAATTTCATTTCAACTTGTATATCATTCGTTTTTTTTAAATACATTATGATATGGAATTCTATGAGCAATATGATAATTCTGTGTCACACAAACCAACCATATGTCTACAAAAGTCTAAATTCTACTTTTCAAGTATTTTACAATTACCTCTGCATTCACACTCTATTCTCGTTCTCGTCGAGAACAGCTTAGCATAAATAAGTTATCTATTTGCATTATTGCTGGTCCGTTTTTCAATGTTTGGCATAGGTATACACAGAGTTAATAGAGGAATTATATCAGAGTCTACTAGTGTTATACCATTAAACTAAACTAAGCATTATACGTTTTATTTATTGTAAGTTGTGTTCTCCAATACTTAATCTTCAAATGAATGTACTTTTCAGATTCAATTACCGTTCTCTCGTGACTTTACAAATGCAAAAAACGTCTGCGACAGTATTGACTCTACTTTGTTTTGGAATTCACAAAATTTCCAAGAAACAGCAATCGTATTCAAAAGTACATCAGTTAGTAGAGTAAATATGGAAGAACACAAATCACAATCAATAAAACTTCTAGTATTTAGCCTGGTTTATTAGCACAACATCTAATAGACTACGATACAATTTCGATTTTGACTCGGTGCAGCCCCACACTAATTGATCGAAAACCAACCGGAAAGAAAAAATGAAGGACGCAGATGGACGCGACTAAATACGGGGCCGGCCAAGAGTGCCTAAAGGAAAGGCAACGACAACGAGGCTTAGTTCTTGCTGATAAAATCCTCGTTATGCTACTATACTCTATTGCTATTTTACTATTGACGGTTTTTTCTAAAAAAACAGTAATCGTCAGTGATATGTTCGAGTCAATGTCAGTTTGTTTTAATGTCGGCTCTTGCAGTGGACGTCTCTAGCATTAGCATGATGGCTACAAATTATCAAGTCAAAAAATAACACTCTTACAAGAGACAACTGAGCTAATCTCTACATGATTATTATTTGTTCATCGAAGTGATAAACATTTGAACAGTAAAATCTCAAACAGGTTTGGTTAGTGGAACTAAGTATCGGTTTGACAGCTACAAAAGGTACAACACATTATCTAGCACATTACTGACCGACTGTAGTTGCTGCTGGTGTTGTTGATGTTGTTGTCGATGTTGTTGATGTTGTGGATGATGTGGATGATGAAGTGGTTGATTTTGTTGTTGACGATGTTGATGATGAAGTGGTTGATGAAGTGGTTGATGTTGTTGTCGATGTTGATGACGATGTTGATGTTGATGTGAATGATGATGTTGATGATGAAGTGGTTGATGATGTGGTTGATGTTGTTGACGATGAAGTGGTTGATGTTGATGTGAATGATGATGTCGATGATGAAGTGGTTGATGTTGTTGTTGATGTTGTAGTCAGTTCTGTTTTAGACAAATGGCATTAAAGATGTGGGTGTGGGCCTGATTGCGACTCGTCTTCAACCTTCATACTCACATCCTCAATATGAGTGTGAATACTGAGGAAGATCCGCGCCCACACTCACATCTACGATTCCATAGGACTGTTCTGTGGATTCAATATATCCCTCATGAGGTAACACTAAGAAGTCCTCACTATAGCATGTCTGGCATTATTAAACAGAACACTATGCTATGCCATATTAGAGAATG